CTTCTTCACATGAAGAAGGAAATTTTTTTTTAGCAATGTTATAACATTATATATATTATTAATATAAATATTTTTTTTAATTTGTATCACCATTAAAGGTCACGTGATATAAAATTATATACAATTCTGAGCTTTGATGATTTTTCCCAAAATTGGCCATGAGGCGCAGCAAGTTGCAGGACTAGGTGACTTGCACCATACCTATTTCTAAAAATAATAAAATATGGCCGCGTAACAATTCTTTCTGATCGTACACCACCAGATCTAAAAAAAAGTGATTAATAATTGATAGTATAATTGTTATATCAACTATAATTTTGATGTTGAATTTTCTACCTGTTTTCTAAAAATAATAAAATATGGCCGCATGACAATTCTTTATGATCCGTACACTGCTAGATCTTACAAGAATATATCATAATAATTCTTTCTGATTTTGTTCAATCATTAACCTTTGGAAAAAGAAATTGTGTAAATACTTTTTTAATTTAATTATTACATTCTTAAATATACATATAAAATACTAATTTAAAAATAGATACAAAAGTAAATATTAAAAAAAAAAATCATGTTACCACCATTACTTCATAAAACTATTTTTTTATAAATCTCTCTAAAACTAATTAACTAACACTAAATGAGATCAAAGCTTGAAAAGCAAGTTTTGTAAATATACTTTATGAATGCTTTATCTAGTTATACGATATGCTATAGTTCTTTACCTATTACCATATATTTTTGTATCTTGCTAAGTACTTGATCGAATTGAGTGATCATAGATTCAAAAGAAAGTCTGAATTCTATTGCACATAATATTCAAAACTTATTTATTGTTAATATTTAGTAGTTGTTTAATATTTGATGCATTTTAATAATATTATTAAATATCTTTACATTTCTCTTCTTTTTGACAATTTGTATATTATTGTTGCTTGCTCACATTATCTAATTATTTTAATCGTCATTATTTATGTAGAAATGAAATGTAAAAGAAAAATTTTAAACTGCATTTATTTCTTACAATTGGACAAAAATTTTACTTGCAGATCATCCAATTTTGCAATTAATTACAACAAAACGTTGCAATTAATTACGACAAAATGTTGCAATTAATTATGACAAAATGTTGCAATTAATTACAACAAAATGTGGTACACTTTTTTCCAGCATGGCGTGCCATAATTTTGACCAATAAAAATGTTTTCACTTGACAAATCACGTGAATATCATCATTTAAAATTTCGGAATGACTCTAGGTGGTTGGCACCATAGAAAAAAAATGAATGAAGGTATTTTTTTTCTTACACAGAAAATAACTATTTTAAAAATATGTAGTATTTTTACATCATAATTTAATATTTTGCTTTATAATAAAATAATACTTAGCTAAATTCTATAAAGGTAAATAAATACTTTACAATGCAAAATAAACATCATCTAATTAAATAATTTGTCTTTTTATTTCTTTATAATAACCAGGGGGCAAGTATTATATTATAATTTAACTTTTACAACACAAAATAAACATCATCTAATTAAATAATTTGTTTTTTTTATTTCATAGAGAGTAAGTATTATATTATAATTTAGCTTTTACAACACAAAATAAACATCATCTAATTAAATAATTTGTTTATTTATTCTTTATAATAACCAGTTGGTAAGTATTATATTATGATTTAACTTTTACAATGCAAAATAAACATCATCTAATTAAATAATTTGTTTTTTTATTTCTTTATAATAACCAGGATGTAAATATTATATTATAATTTAACTTTTACAACACAAAATAAGCATCATCTAATTAAATATTTTTTTTTATTTCTTTATAATAACCAGATGGTAAGTATTAATTATATTATAATTTAACTTTTATGACACAAAATAAACATCATAATCTAACTAAATAATTTGTTTTTTTATTTCATAGAGGGTAAGTATAATTGGGGCATACTGCAACAAAACCAGACAAAGTGAACATTGGTATTACCAAGGATTTCAGGGATCAAAATTTAGTCATTTGTAATGTGATTATAATTATATATCAGTTTTATAATATCCCATTTGTTATCTTAAGTGATATACAGAACTACCCCTATATAAAAATAATTAATATGAAACTCATTTACATCAGATCTACTATGGAACCCAAGAATTATAGTACCATTAGAAGTATTCTGAAGAAAGAACAAGGTGAAAAAATTGCTCCTTACATTTTCAAAATAAATGATACTCAAATGCTGGAAGCTTATCTAAGAAAAGAAAGGATTACTTATGAAATCTACCAAGAAGAAAGAGTTTTTAAAAGAGTATTAGAGAATTCTAATAAAGAATCAAGAAAAAAAAGAAAACTGGAAGAATAACTTGACAAAACAAATAATTACTTTTTCTTCAACTTTGTTAATTTTTAATTACCTTTTATTTTCAATCAAGGTCATTTTTTAGTTTCTTTAACTTCAATTTGTGTAGTTAGTTGAGTCTGCTGTCTCTTTAACTGTACTTTCAAGACTTTGAATTTAATCTAATAATTCTTGCTTTTGCTTATTATGTCAATCCTTTGAAACTTTTAAGGCTTCCAAATGG